ATTTTTTTTTAATAGATTTATTATTTATTCTGATTTTAGTTAGTATTTTTAACCCTTAATTAAATTTGTTTTCATATATGTTTATTATTTATTTTATAATTTAGTTAGTATTTTTAATCCTTAATTAAATATTTTTTAAATACATTTATTATTTGTTCTCTACTTTAGTTAGTATTTTTAATTCTTAATTAAATATTTTTAAATACATTTATTATTTGTTTTCTACTTTAGTTAGTATTTTTAACCCTTAATTAAATTTTTTTTATAATATATTAATAGAATAATATATAAATAGAATATAGAATAAATAATAATTCTGTAATTTAGTGAGTATTTTTAACCCTTAATTACATTTTTTTAAGTACATTTATTATTTATTCTGTAATTTAGTTAAATTAAAGGTAATTTAATTTAGGGTTAGTTTAACTCTTATATCACATAACATATTTTTAATTAAGTTAATCGCAAAGTATTGCTTTTTGTGTTAATCTTTAATCCGAAAGATCAAGTTTGGCTTTATTAAAGGTCATTCAAGCTTTCTAATTTTTATTTAAACATTACTTCATTATTAATATTAATGTTACACATATATGCGAATAAATTAAAAAACTCTTTATATAAATTCATCATGCAAAAAAGGTAACAAATTAAAATTAAACAAAGAGTGCAAAAAAATAAACTTGTCAGTTTTAAAATATTCGAAAACAGGTATTTAATATATAATTTTTTATATGCATATAGGTAAAAAGTAATAAATATTTAACAAAAAAAATATATTATGTACTCACTTTTTTTAAACTTTTTTAAAAACTTTTCTTTCTTAATATTTTGAATTACACATTGAAAAAAAATTATTCAAACCACAATAATTATATCTTTTCTTTTGCATACAAAATAATTTTTTTTTGTTTTTTTTTTTTAATTTAAATTACGTATATAATTATTATGAAATAAATGAAGTAATTCAACGATTTTCTTCGCTTCAGTTTTGGTGTCGAATTTTTCAAATTTAACGAACCGTCCGCATCGAGAACCAATTCCGAACTCAGTGCAAATATTGGCTAAAACGTATAATGAACCTCAGCGTCGTTCATTACGAACGAAGTTTTTGTTAATTAAAGCAGTTGAGTAGTTACACTTTTGAATTTACTGCGGCAGCAGTGATAAACTGATTTGTAGTTATTTGCTTCATAAAATGATATTTAATTATAAATAAATATAGTATACTATAGTAATCACTCCCTTCGTTACTGTTTTTATTATTGTATTCACTCTTTCTGTGCACAAAAAGGTATTAGTAAAATTTATTGTTAGGAAATCCACTACTGTAAATATAGTTATTCATTAATGGACTAGTAAGTTAATTTTAATAAAAATTCTGTTTTATTTAATCTACTTATATTTACTATATGTCAATATCGTAATCAATATTATACATTCGTAAACAATTAATTAAAAAAATTACATTCTATTTGTCATATATTATATTAAGCAAATTAAGGCAAATTAGTCGATAGTGTGATTTTGCACAATGTTTTTGTAAATATTGTTAATTAATTTGGTTTTTTTTTTTTATTAAATATCAGCACGGAAATTAAATTAAAATGATTTTGAGTTTTAGTCAAGTTTGGGGATACATGCTTTTATATAAGGAAATTCGCATGAACAAAATGTTTATAAAACACGTTCGACACTGTCAGGGTCATTACAGGTGGAAAAAAAATATTTAAAATTGTTTAAAAAAGTATTTTTGTATAATAGTTAAAATATTTCAGTTAATATCTTTAAGCAATAATTAAAAATTTATTATTGTAAATATGTAATTATAATAATTTTTAATTGTTTTAATAATAATTACAATAAAAAATATTTTAACGTCATTTACTTAAGTAAGGAAATCATACAGTGCACTATAATATTGTATTGCATATAAATTGCTCTAATAAACTGAATTCATATCAATCATACAGTAAACGACATCTTTTTACCCATGCAAGCAGTCAGTGCTCAGCTTAACTCACATATAACAGCATTAAAATAATAATCAAAAGTCGAAACGGCAATATTATTATATTGCCTAAACTATACTAAACTAAATTTACATCAATTATACAGTAAACCTCATCTCTTTCCTCATGCAAGTAGTCACAAAAAAAAATGGTTAAGGCCGTGTGCGAGTTCGAGTAAATTGAGGTAAAGTAAATTAAAATTTCCTAGGGATTTCTTGCACTGCATTTATGTAAATATTTATTTATTTATTGCACTTATTTATTATTTTTGATTAAAAGTTTTCACATATATTTTTTTATTTATTAAACATCTTATACAATTTTTACAATGGTAACACCTAATTTACCTAATCTTTATCTAATTTACCTTACTCGAAATTCTGGTAAATACCAACATTCGCTGCCATATCGACATAATTTACTATTTCCCTTAATTTACCACCAATTTACTCGAACTCGCCCACGACCTGAAAACAAAACGGGCTAAAAATAAGAAAAGTCGTGTATGGAATGACACTCTTCCATACATATGAAACATGAAGATTTATTTGAGGTGAAGATTTGTGCTTAATTATTTATGCGTTTATGCGAATAATAATTAAAACTATAAATTTCAAATCGACTTCGTGTCTTAAAAGGCGAGGTTCAGAGCTCAAATTTGACAGTTTTCATTTCCTTATGTTGCAGTCCAAAAATTACATACAAACAACTAAACCAATAGTTGTTTCCAAGAGCATTAGTAGTGAATATCTGACAATACTACCTAAGGAGTAGAATGTTGAGCCTAAGAATTGATTTAATTAAAAGTTATAAATTTTATGGAATTTAAAACATTTCCTTACTATATTACTATATCACTTTTTTTACAAAAAAAAAAAAAAATTTGCCGATAATTATATTCTCCAGAATTAATTATGAAGTAACTTTAATAGTACTACACATATCAATTTTCTCAATTATTTTCTCGCACATTTAACGACATATATTTATGATTATTGTATCGCTTTCTCATCAACTTCAAAAGGGTTTTACTTTGATTTTAATTAAAATCTATTTTCATTATTTCTATTTCTGTAAGTTCAGCTTACAATTTTACTTATATAGATAAGAATAGTATATTTTTAAAAACGAGTTGTGTGACAGTTTTCTCATTTTTTAATGCTGGCAACATTTCGAAAATAATCCCATATGTCATACAAAACTAAATCAATTTCTTTATATACATTTAATTATTTTCATAAATAGAAGTTTATTATTCTGTTTATTTTTTGAATTTAAATAAATAAAAATATCATACAAAGAACTAATTAAGAATGGTTAAAAAAGTTAATTGGCTTCTTTATCTAGGTCCAATCCAGTACACTACTCTTCAATGGAGTAGTAAGGAATTATGGTATTTTCCTAACATAATTAAGCAAAATCATTGATGAAATTGAGGGTCTTCAGCGCTGTTATAACAAAGGTAATGCAGATTTATAAATTTTTTATATATATTGTTCTATAAACTATATAGTAGTAATATAATTATTATTGTTATTAATCTATTATTTCTGCAATGGCTAGAAAATTGATTTTCTAGATTCATATTAGATTCACATTCACCGTTCAATGTAACAGTTATCTAATTCAATACATTAAATAAAATCCAAAATATTTTTGAACAAAAAGAAGCTCATTAAAAAATTTAATTGATTGAAACTATTTAAAAAAAAAATTATTTAAAAAAATATCTCATACATATTTTCTAAATAGTGATACAAATTAGTGTAAATTATAAATTAACACATAAAAGTAACTCACAAATAACATTTTATTATAGAATCGAGCACAATCGCTGAACGTGTATTTTTAGAATTTTTATTTAAGTTTAATTATTTTAATTATTTTAAATTCTTCGGTTTATATTAAGAAACATTTTTCATTCTACTATTTAAAGCTAGTATATCTTTTATTAGTTCTTATCAACATTTAGTAACACAATAAATCATAATAATTAAACTCTTAGTACATATATTAGGCTGTAATATTCAATTCGTTAATTTTAATTGCACTTATGCATATACCGATGAATAAATTTATACATATGTAGGTACATATATAGATGTATACATATAGATGAAAGTAGTTCTAGCAAAATATAAATATTACAATAGGAGTAAATTGTGTATAGAATTTTATATCGCGGTGGTACACAAATGCTTTATATAATTTTTAATTTGTTTTACATAATCAAATGAAAAATTTTAGTATATAAATAAATTTAATATATTAAAATGTGTCTTGTGCACTTATGTTTTATTAAAAATATTTTATTCTTCAATATATTATTTATAAACAAATTCTGGTACTTTAATTTATTATAACTTAATTTCACTTTAAGTGTCAGTGCCATCTTTGACTAAATATGTTTAGTCAAATCACCTTTACTTTCTCACCTAACACAACTATGATCATTTGGTATGTCAGGAACATAGCCAAGTTTATAGATTTGTTAGATGGGCTCAGTTTTACTTAAATAAGGCAGCGGTTCCTTTTTTTAACGTTGTTTGGCGTTAACTACTTCAATATTTTTTGCTGGTCCTCCTGCTCTGGCGTATGAGCAACGTTTATCCGTAATGTCACAAACGATCCATATTTGTGGTCAAATGGGTTTTGGTGCAAAGACCGGCATTCTAACCTGACCTGACTTAACCTGATAGAATTGAAAATGATAAAAAAAAGTTGCATATTTTTAGGCCAATTAATATGCGCCTACAATCATTCAAAACGCCAAATTTAATTACTTACCCCAAATTATCAATCTATTGGAATATGACAATCAAACTATATTCTTTTTATAGTGCTTTAGAAAACAACAGATATTTGATGATTTTTACCTTCTGCTTCTTGTTGCCCCAGTTTCTGGAGTATGTGATGCTTCGATATATATTACGATGCGTAATAAGTTTTTAATATATACGAGTCTAACTAAAATAATTAAATCAGCCTGAGGTATATTTATTTTTATATAACATCTTACATTATCATTAAAACTAGCTTAAAATTAATATAATACTAACATTATAATAATATCAAAGGCACTTTACAAAATTGCTTAGTGTAAATCGCATGTGGATTGTAATTTGTAGTTTTATATAGGATCTGGACTTCCGAAGTGTTTAATAATTTGATTTAAACTTTCATAAGTGCCAGTAGCAAATCCAAGTAAACTCAAAATTAATATTAAAACATTCTTAATAAGTAACGCACAGCCAGGACCTTTGTTACCATTATCTGGTTTGATTAATAACTCTATCATTGGAGGAAAAACCAAGGCCAACGCTGTAGAGCAAAGCGCACCAATTAACGATATGAATAGACTTAAAGCAGGCACAAGTTCCGCAACACCCACTGAAAATATAACAGTAATATTGTTAAAATTTATTTTATTTAATGTTAAAAATTATAATTTTAATACTCACATGTGACAATAACCATTATTGTACGAAATATTAATTCGCCACAAAGTGGTTTCTTTTGTAGATTGAATAAATTCATGACATTCGGCCACATAATTTGTATAGCAATAAAGAATTGTAAGGGATATCCTAGTAGAACACCCAGTGATACCATAACTTTAACACATTGAGCTAAGCTAAATAATGAAAAAAAAAAGAAAATAATAAAAATAATAATGTTTTATTATTATCTTTTTCAAAAATTCATTTATGTAAATTTTGAAAATAATTCCTACATTGAGTCGCCGAGATTTAAAGTTAAACTACCGCCAACACCTTCACCCCATTTAATGTAGCCCACAGAACCAGCAAACATAAACATAAAAGTGACCAAGAACATGCCAACATTCAAAACACCCAAAGGACTTTCAAAATTGTATGGCTTGGCCATAGTGTTTTTCAGTGGCAGGACTAAGGCGATACCTTCAAAGGCGAAAATGGCAGTGCCGAAGAAGAGCGCCAATTGACGTGAGTTTGTATACAATTCGCGTTCCTTTATATCAGGTAGACCATCCTTTAATGCGTAATACATGGTAATTGCCAAACCAACTATCATGCAAATATTAGCAATCAGTGAAACCGGAGCTAACCACTTAAGATTCGTTATAAGCGACACCAAGAGTATGGGCACAAAAATTAAAAGCATAACTATGTGTACGTCTATTGTGATGTTGTAAGCATGAAATATCTACATATAAAAATTAAATATAAAAGATATTTCTTAAGAAGAGTCGGGGAATTCACCTGATTAAAATTCGAGCTAATAAAGACAAAATAAATACAACAAAATCCAAACTGCGTGAGGCATATAAATATATTCACAACGGTCTTCATAATTTTTGACCAATTTCTCAATTTCTGCGGACCATTTTCGAAGCATTGCTCGACAGTATCTGCATAATCAGCACAAGTAGGATCATTTCGCAGTACTCGCATTTTCTCGGAACAATTAATGAGTATGTGTTGACAATGAATGCTAATAAACGCGATGACGATTGTTAAAATTGGTGCAACTACTATACCACCATTCTTAAATGCATCACCCATTGCAAACAGACCGGGGCCAATGTTTCCTTTGAATAGGTGAATTATAGTTTCCATGTAACTAAAAATAATGAAAATGTTTACTTCAAAATATTATTAACTCTTATTGTTTATAATAAGTAATACCTCGTAGGTGGATGGTTCGTTCCGCTTGATTTGCTTTCATCTTTTTTTTTAGTGTCGGAAGTAACATTCGAGAGTTCCGTGTTATCTGATTGATTAGGTTGTTGCTGTTATTAAATAAATAAAACGATATAGAAATAGAAATATTTAAATATTGCACAAATGTTTTTAAGGGAAATATTATACTTATAATATAATATATAATATTTTTAAACATATAATGTAGTTATCATGTTATAAATGATTTATCTACTCATAATCTTTTTTATTTATATCGAGCGAATTTAAATGATTTTGTATGAATATTTATACTTAATTGTATGAAAATTAATGGATATGCAATAAAATAAAAATCGCCTGCTCAAACATGATCTATTCTAATTATATCTTTCAAAAATTAACATAAAATAAACATAACTCATATTTTCAGACACTTGATGATGAATTTTAAAAATATCTCATGTGTCTCTGTTGATCTGTGGAACACTTAAAAAATATCTCAACTGCTCTTAATGAAGCAAGCGTTTTGCCTTCTCGTGCTTCGGTTAAAATAAATTAAATATTTAATACTAAAATGTCAAATTTTAATTGTTATTAAATGGATTTGCAGTTAAAAAATATATATTTGGAATTAAAATTTACTTAACCGAAAATATTAATTTTCAGTTCTGCATAATTTGACTATAAATACTTCATTTCTTATATATACTTAATATTAATTATTTAAAACAAATTGAATACAAAAGTGATAAATGAGTATTTTCATTTCAGATTTATATTAATTATTAATTGATAATAATTATTAATTATTAATTGATAAGAATTAATAATTATTATTTCATAATAATTATTAATTATTAATTGATAATAAATATTTTAAATTTTAATTGATAATAATTAATGTAAATGTTATTTTGAATGCAAATATTTGTATATAAAATATGTTCTATATTAGTTGGAATAATTTTAACTTATTTTTCTAGTATACTTTATATATAAAATGTATTTCTGCACTATAAACAAAAAATATGTACACAAAATGTTCTACGTTGCGTATACGTAACTTAATTAATATTTGACGACTAATATAATTTCGTGCATTATTTTTATACTATTTATTTTGTTTAAATTTTTTTTATTTATTAATTTCACATTTCCACATATCGTGCTGCCTTAAGTGATATATAAATATGTAATTCTCACTGCCTTTTATAAATTTTTTAATTATTGAAACGTGATGAGCCAATTTAATATTCAAATAATTAATAAAAACAATTTTTAGTAAAGTAATAACTTTTTTATAGTAACTGAAATAATAATTTGTTTTTATCATAAAGACATGTTCGATAAACAATTAATATTTTAGTAATAACATTCTCATTAATTTTAAAGGGTTCGAATGAAAAAGAAAAGGCAAGAACGAAAATTTTGTTAATTTATTGAAATTTCGCTGACCATACAACGCTGCTTCGAGTATTGTCAAATACTCATCATCAATGTTCTTAGGAAATATTCGAATTTGTTTTTAATTAGTTTATAATCTGTAAATAATTTGTTTGCCTGTCAAACTAAAAGCGATGCTTCAGTTCCAAGTTCTTTGTCACTTTTTACTTTTTAAGTGTGTCACTCTTTTGTTATTTTTACTTTTATTTATTGCTTTATTGTTAATTCTATTATCATTGCTCTTATGCATCTTTTCATTCTCTCATAAGTGTTACGCTCTCGGAGTGCATTAATGTAAGAAATATAATAAAGAAATGAAAGTCAGTTTTGACGAGACACTCTTAATCAAACGGACGTGTTTTATTTAAACTCGGTGTCTGACAAATTCAGAAGTGGGATTTAAAATAAAGAGTGCAAATAATAATTTATTGGTAATAAGTGTAAACAGTTATTAATGAAAATAATGGATTCGAACACAATGGGAAATGCAATTGACTTGGATGATTTTCCTTCGGTAAAGGAAAGTAATGTGAAAACGCAATTGCATGAACATAATGATGAGGAGAAACAAAGTGTCGCCGATGTTAATACGGCAAACGAAAACACCACCGTTTTGGAATTGAAAGCCGAAGTATTGCGTCTCCAGCGGACATTGGAGTCATTAATACAGCCTATCAATGCGGTGGCGACGTCGATGCCGGAATTAAATGCGAATAAGTATTTTGTGCCGAATACTAATCTACATGCACCAAGTCAAACTACAACTACAACAAATACAGTGAGTGTTTCTTTGCCTTCGATAACTGTACCTAACCAATACATGAACAAATATTCGTGTGCATCAACAAGCACAGTGTGGCCTCTGCCAGCGTCACATGTAATGAATATGCCTAATGCGTCTACGTTGGCGCCAGTAATCTTTTCAACCCCTGAGTGTGTGCAAAAGTCGCCGTTGATCGCGCCGAACATAGCTGTAGCTGCTACGTCAGCAGAATACGCACCGTACATGCAGAACAGACAAGATCAAACCAATGTGCGTATGCAGTATGAAACAAATATGAATTCGAATGTTGCTATGGCAATGCAGAGTGCGAGTAATTACTGTAATATAAGAGAAATTAGAGATGCTTTGCCGTCATTCGACAACAACAGTGATGACGTCACATCAGTGCAATTTGTTCAAAGTGTTGAGCAATTAAAGAATGCATACCAGTGGAATGACCATATTGTTCTATTTGCTATAAGAAGTAAATTGAGAGGTGCCGCAAAATTGTGGATCGATTCGCAACCAGTATTTCGTAGCTGGGGTGAATTTGTGATCGCATTCTTAAATGATTTTCCGTGTGTTTTGAATGCTGCTGATATTCATATGCAGTTAATGAGCAATCAGCAGAGAAAAAATGAAAGCGTTGTTGAGTACTATTATCGAATGTTAGCTATTGGACGCCGTGGACAACTCGAAGACCAAGTGGTCATAAGATATGTAACCATCGGGCTGTATGACGACGGGTTGCGGAAGACATTATCTGCTATGCAATTTAAAAATTGCTCAGATTTTGTGCGGTCGTTACAGAACAGTAATGTAAGCGTACGAAAACCAGCAGTACGTTACAATGATAATCAATATATGCCGAATAAAAATAACAGTGACTCCAGTGTAACTCGTGTGGTAAAAACGGGACCGGTTTGTTATAATTGTCGGGAAAATGGGCACATTTCGAAAAATTGTCCAAAACCGCAACGAAAGCCGCGTTGTTCAATGTGTTCAGGAAACCATGACACAAAAACGTGTAATAAACGAAATCCAGTAAATATGATTGAAAAACCTGGTATTATAATTAAAGAAATATGTATAAACAATATTTTATGTAACGCTTTGATCGATTCAGGCAGTGGTGTGTCAATAATTAAGCGTAATATAGCCACTATATTGAAATGTAAACTAATAAAATGTGTGAAAACTTTGAACGGTTTTGCCGGCGGTGAATATGTGTGTTCCGAAAAGACAGATAAGTTGTCAATTACTATTGATGAACAAAAGTACAAGTGCGAAATGCTAGTGGTCGAAGATGATACCATGGCATATGACGTTATTATCGGTATTGACTTATTGTCCAAATGTCGCGTTGTGATTGAAAATGGAAACTGTCAAGTGTTTGCGATAACACCTGAAAATTTTAAGTGCAACGAGAATTTATCGGTAAACGAACAAAATGAGTTGCGTAATTTGTTAAATAATTATTATGATTGTTTTGGCGAAAATCTAAATGAACTTGGTAAGGCGAAAACAACGAAAATGGAGATTGCGGTTACATCTCCAACGCCGATAACAAAAAAACCTTACAGCATACCAATTCCTAAACAACGTGTCGTGGAACGAATTGTTGACGAATTATTAGAGTTAAATATTATTCGAACATCAACTTCAGAATACTCGTCTCCTATTGTTCTTGTACCGAAATCGAATGGTGAAGATCGTTTATGCATCGACTACAGGGCATTAAATGCTGTAACGGAAAAACAGCCATGGTCAATGCCTACAGTAGATGGTGTTCTATCAACTCTTGCGGGGAAAAGATTTTTCACAACTTTAGATATGATGTCAGGTTATTATCAGATTGAGATTGCTGAATCATCGAAAAAGCTGACAGCGTTCGTCACTCATAATGGTCACTATGAGTTTAACCGAATGCCATTTGGCCTCAAAAACGCTCCGTGCGTATTTCAAAAGATGATGATGAAACTTGTGGAACCGCTGAGAGGTAAGGTGGTTAGTTATGTTGATGAAGTCATTGTGGCATCTGAAACAGCACAAGAAGGGCTTGAGAATTTAGAAGAATTTTTGAAAATTATTCGTAATGAAGGATTGACCTTACGCCTATCGAAATGTTATTTTATGAAAGGCAGTGTATCGTTTTTAGGTCATGAAGTCGACGAGAATGGTATAAAACCTGGTATAACGAAAACCATTGCGATAAAACAATTTCCTATACCAACGAATGTAACAGAAGTCAGACGTTTCTTGGGACTTACAGGTTACTTCAGGAAATTTGTTCAGAATTATGCACAAATTGCTCATCCGTTAACACAGTTAACGAGAAAGAATATTGCTTTTAAATGGTCATTGGAATGTGAAAATGCTTTCCTCAAACTAATTGAATTGTTAGCTAATGAGCCGCTTTTGGGAATATATGACATTAATAAAGAACAAGAAATTTATACTGACGCAAGCAGTATTGGACTTGCAGCGATATTAATGCAACGTGAAGATAACGGAATATCAAAGCCCATAGCATATTTTAGTCGATTATGTACAGATGTTGAAAGCAAATATCATGGATATGAATTAGAAGTTTTAGCGGTAGTTGAAGCATGTCAACGTTTTCGAATGTATCTTTTGGGCAAACATTTTAAAATCTTTACGGATTGTTCAGCTATTTCCAGTATTAAAACAGTAACACCAATGATTCCACGAGTCGCAAGATGGCTGTTAAAATTGCTCGAATATGATTATACGTCAAGTCATCGCCCAGGTAATTTAATGGCTCACGTTGACGCAATGAGTCGAGCTCCTGTTGAACCGCCATGCGAAGTTGATGATGTATCTGCAAATTTAATGATGATTGACATTTCGAATGAGGATTGGATTTTGACAATGCAACAG